ACTGTGAATCAGAAGATCTGGTAATATTCTTTTATACGTCCTGTCACTCCTTTACAGGTATGTCAAATTCCATATAATTTAACTAACAACTAAAGTTAACAAATTAAAAGAAATCATGCTTATATTTGCTAAAAACCATGCCATATAGTGTTAATTCACAGGCGTGCTTAAAACCTAGTTATAAAATCTAATAATTTCTCGTTCTTTGGACTTCTGTGGCTGGCATGAAAGGCAGAGAGGAGTTTTTATGTAGGTTGCTGGGAGTCAGGGATCCTAGCTTTCTGTTTTCATGGCCCTTCTCTCATCTCTCGAGGAAGCTTCCAAAATAAGTTCATTACATCCCCTCTTCTCAATACAGCCCATTGTCCCTGTAATCTTTGTATCCTTCAGGACCGCTAGCTTGAGTTACACATCGGAATATCTCAATGAGACTGGAAGCTATTTCAAAGCACAAAGTGCCGCCATATCATTCAGCCATAGCCTTCATGTCACTGGGTTATTTGGAACCAGAGTCAGTTAGGCAGAAAGGTTTATCTTACATAATCCTGTTTTATTTTAAGAGATGATGACAGTCCATACACCATCTGATTTTCATATTAAACAATTAAAACGAGGAGAACAGGATATTTAGAATTAATATCATTGATTAACTTTTCTTTAGCATACAAGTAAATCATGCTAAAATGCAGACAACACGAGGGACTCGATATCATTATTCTGGGATACGCCACAAGACCTTCCCGTAAAAACATACAGGAGACGAAAAAATCCATAAAAAAACAACTATAACTTTATGTGACACACACAGGAATTTTGTGTTTTTTAGCCCCGTGAATGAAATCTCGTTTTGGACCTCAGTTCAGACATTTTCAGTTCTGCCTAAGGCATAGCTTCATTGTGAGAGAGGAGGTTAAATCTTGTCAAAATAATGGAATAATTGATCTGAGAAAATGTGAGCTGGAGGCCTTGGTTTTGCTTATCTAAGCCTGGAATATTACAGACTCAGCTGGCCATGACTAACCCCTTCAGCTATTGTAAACTACAAAGGTCCTTTTAATCTATACCACTTGCTTCCCATTTTCATTAATCCAGGATAGCCTGTAGAGTGATAAAACCCTAACTACTTCCGTACCTCAAGATAACCCCTTTATGCATTTAAGTAGAGGGAAGTAATCTGGGATATCAAAGCCCAAGAGAAGCAGAAGAGAGCGGGGTTGAAGCATCTGCCCCTGTCCAGACAGACTAATTACTCAAACACGATGTACAAATATCATCACCACAGTCACATATCTACCACACTGGAACTGACACGTATACCACTGCTGCCTTTGAAACCATACGTTTACTTTTTTGTAAACAGTATACTACAAGAGTGAACTCTATGTCTATGTCTGTATTTTAAAAATGATGTAATTTGCAGTGCTGTCTTATTACCTCAAGCGTTTTACTGTGACTGCTGCACGCCATGTCACTTTTACAAAAGAAGAATATTTTACCTAACGGTGGTAATTAACGTTTTCCTGGAGGAAGCCATAAGGAAAACTTAAAGCTATCTTTTTTTCAAGAAACATTAATTCAGTTGCACAAATCTTTTCAGTGAAAGTGGGTGACACTTACATTTGGTGTTGACAACCACAAATTGCATTTTGGCTGTAACAAAGGCCCATTAGTCTTCAGCTTCTGTATTTATAGCAAGGCTCTGGGATATAAATCCTTCGGGTTTGTCTCCCCCTCTGTGTGCTGAAATCTCATCAGTGATTCTGGCAAGCTCTAAGACAATGGCTTTTAACATGTGCATTCAATTACTTAATGTTTGATTCAGTAAGGGAAATAGCCTGTTTGTGTTTGTTTCCAATTATTTTTAACAACACCATAAATTTATAACAGAATAACTCAAATGATTAATTGATCAACAATAATATCTGTGTAGTGTCCTACAGGATAGAGGACCTGCAGTCCTAGAGAAGACATTTCCTGGGAGAATCATACAGTATAGCTGCCGGATCTCATTCCAGTTGTGTTCTTCATTATTGATGCTAACTTGAAAGCCTTAAATTGATCTGTCTGCTTGTTTAGATTTTTGTTTGCACTTTTCTGTACTCGGCCTTCAGTTTTAAAAAATGCCTAACGTTATGTAGTCTGTTCTCAACTTGTTTGCTGGCAGATTGCTGCTTTATTTCTGTCAAAACAGCTCTTATGCACCCTTTATAAATCATACACAGGTGGGAATCAAAATGTATTACTGTTTGGTAGTTACTGTTGCCCTCTGCTGAAGTCCAGTTGGTAGCCCTTGAAGTAATGCATTTAAAAATTGAGAAGTTCCAAAACTCAGAAATGTTTTATGAGTTGAAAGCAAGTTGTAAAACATGCCTCAAATGGAAAAATGAAATTAATTAGCCAGTAATTAATAACCCAGCTGCCACACAAAACCAGACCGGTATTCGTCCTTTTTTTTTAACAGCATACAGACCCCGACAGTCAGTATTCACATATTAAAAAAAGGCATGTTAAAAGAATTTGCTTGTCTTTTGAGCACAGATATAATTCCAAGATCTTAAACGGCTGGATATCCTCAGATCTGCCACAGTCAGGCATTGGTTTTCCAAATTTTGCAAGTAAGATGACACAAGCTAAACGCATATAAAACTACAAAACAATAGTTTTTGTGTTACACAATTTTATTTTTTTACAAAATGTAAATATGACAATAGAAAAACAAAAACAAATGGAATACAGTTCCAACACAATTTTTCGTGTCTGAATTGTTCAACAAGAAATCACAGCTGTGACAGCTTCAGGAAGGCACTGTATTTTTGTGGGTGCTTGTGTGACTGACACATTGTCGCATAGATCACATGCAAATGCATATACATACTGTATACTAATCACAGTACAGTATAACAGCTTGTATGTCTATAGCACGTTTTATCTAATAGAATCCAAAGACACTGTACAGGTTGGTCTGGACTTATTCACCACTGGGTTGGCATGTCATAGGCATTTTGGGTCAAAAGATACACTTCACATCATATAAGGCAAACAAATGAAGTATCTCCAATTTAATTTGAGGGGCAAAATTTGAAAAGTAGCGAGGATGGCAAATATAGCACCCCTAAATGTTTTTGTGCTTGCAGAAACAGCAGTTTGATGCTCAAGCTATGCTGTATATTGTATTTCCAGCACTGTAGAAGTAAAAACCATATTTGCTGAATCACTCGTGCAATTCAAAATAAGTAAAAAGCTATAAAATGTTTTTTTTCTTCAGCCACAAATATTTATTGAATATGTTCTTTCTGCAACAAGAACTTCTATCATCAATTTTTATCCAGTTCACGGGAAATTCTGTCCGATTCTTTTCAAATAAATGAGAAATTTGAAGTACACGATGTTTAAAATACACACATCTGTTCATATGAGAACGGAAATGAATTTCTATCTTTGACACGTATGTGTGTTGGGGGAAATGTTATGATCTACGTTTCCTGACCTATTTTGTTTAGAAAAATCTGTAAACTAAAAAAAAACCTGTCTTTGAGAAACAGAAATGAAATTTCCGTGACCGATAAATGTAGGTTTATTCTATATGTTTTGCAAGTGACATCATTTCATCAGTTGAGAATAAATCAAGTCACATGTGGCGTGGGACAGATGACATGGACTGACATGGAATTCTCTTCCATTCAATCTGCTCAATAATTTGTACACCTGTCTTCTTCCAGATTCACTGAAGAATCCTGATTTGAGTTTTGAAAGGGTTTGCAGATGCTGTTATGCAGCGACAAAGTTTGGAGAACTTTGCAGTTGCAAAATGGCCCATGTGCACATGAAGATGCGATATGGTGTAATTTAGGGAGGTTGGGTTTAAAAGAAAATCATACACATGTAGCAAGAGCAAATGTGATGATACCATGTATAGTACAACCCACTGTGGTACAAACACCTGAATTGCATATAGCCTAAGCATAATACTTGGCATCCTGCTCTCAATTGCTTATACATGAGGAGTGAAAAATGCACAGATATAGTTCAAAACGATTTTCTTTGTGAACTGCACAGCCTCCAGTATTATGATTAAAATATCTGTCTCTTCATTATATCACAGATAGAAAATCTTCAAAGACCGTAAACTGTTCCTTACATTTTATATTTTGAGGTTGCCAGTATGATTTACCATTGATAGCAGCCATTAGAGCCAAATCAGTCCTTCATGCTTTGCTGCCCTGGCAGTTTCCACATATGCTATAGGCACTGTGAGCTAGATAATTTAATTTTTTTCTACAAGTTAGTTCAATGACATCACAGAAATATATGGTAGTTTATGGTCATGAGTCATTACTTGTATTCCTGAGGATTAAAGAGATTTCACCTCCTGTTTCTCTGCTGTCAACGAATCTCAGGCTTGTTTCTGAAACCATAATCCTAGTCCTAATGCAAAGCAGACTTGAGAGGCAGGAAAAAAAAAAAGAAAACAGATTTTTAATAATCTGATGTGCATTTGGCAGACAGGGATACGTGTTCAGTTCAGACAGGCTGAGGTTTCTAAAAACTACATAGAAATATAGAAACAACTTGTGCATAAGAGGTTCTTTCATTATTAGAATGACAATGAATTTCTGGAAATGTCCACCGCAATTGGCCAAAAAATAAAGAATACCAGCAGTAACTGATTTGCTGAAACCAAAAATGAACAAAGTGATCTTAAAAAGCTACATCTAACTGAACCAGATTTAGAGATTTAAGATTATCAGTTCTATCTAAACTTAGAAAAAGAGAAGATTGCAAGAGTATATTTAAAAGAAGAAAATCCTGTCCAGGAAGATTAATGTGGTTAATCAGTTATAAATTAGATTCAAACATTAAATTATACAAAGAGTTACAAAGTTTTTCATTACACACGTTTTCAAACATACGGTGAAGACCATTAGATCATGCATATGATTTTATCTTAAAGGTCTTGACGCAATGTTTTCCTGTGGTAAGTAATTTTCCTTTTGGAACTGTTTTGTGTCTCATGGTTAACATCCTATATATATATACTTCTGTGTCTGTGGAAAGTGGTATAAGTAAGAATGCATCCTTTACTTTGTAACAAGACTGCAGTTACTTTACTTCCATGAATTTTACAAAAATAATCTGTAAAAATAATAATAATAATCTGTCAGGAAAAATGTGTGTAGTTTTAATTTTTTTATTGTACTCAAATTGTTTTTTGCCTATATGTAAAAAAGCTATTTGTTATAAGGGATTCTTGATTACACAAAAAAATAACTTTTATTTATCACCGTTTTGAACTGCAGTAAGTTAATTATGTACAAGGTAAACGATGACATATGGAGCCTAATACTTTGTATCACAATCTTATGGCATGGTGATTTTCCAGCTAACACTAGCAGCCAGAATACTGCAAAATATCTTGATGGGTTTACTGTTACCTGGCTTGTACATTGATTTATTCTATTAGAATAATACTTTGCTCAGCACAGGATTCTGTATGCCACTGAATAATAGCCTTGAACATTTAAATGAATACAGCTGTATATGTCTTAAGAAAAAAAGGGATTGCCTCCTCTCATTTTACTTTCACTAATGCTCATGTAAGTAATAAAATGAAACAGCACAGGGCTAAGGTTTAGTCCCACCACAAAGCCAATGGGAAAAAGCATTTTAATGAGGAAATGCACAACGCCAACCCAGGGAACACAAGTGGAGGTGTTGAAAATTCGAGGCATACAAAGCAGAACAAAATTAACCTAATAAAACACAGAGGGGGCACATTTCAAGACGTTTAGAAAATTCTCTGAAAACACTGAAAGGCCCCACACAGAGACACAGAGGTGGATTAGACACTGTAGATTTCAAACCTAGACCTATTTAACAACAGGATGGGTTTTCTTACGCTGTGCTCCGAACTCTAATGAGCTTGAAGGAAACAGCAAGTCATGAAGCACGAGTCCAGCGTTATCCACCACAAACCGCGTCCTACCTGATGAGTTCTCCATTTCCTCCCACACAGCAGTTGCTCAATCACAGCGAAACGCAGTGTCCAAACCGAGTTTCAAATTAAAAAGAAAATACCCTTTAAAATTAAAAACATACTGCAGTATTAATACATATTACATTTCTGAAATATCTAAAGAAAAAACAGTTTTAATCTGTTAAAAATAAATCTTCCCTATTTTCCTGGAAGGTGTGATGACTATTATATAAAAAAACAACACTTCCAACGCTTATTTGATGGTTTTCAACAGTATGAAGCACCGCTGGAGTAACAGCAGCTTTACACAGTCTCTTTGCATGAGGTAAAGCTCATTTGTAAGACAGCATACAATCTGATAGAGTCATCAAAAACATAGAAAAGCAAGTATCCTTCTGTGGATTCTGTTTTACCATTTCTCACTAAAGACCTATAGTAAACAAAGATCACATCATCTGAATACAAGAACGTCTAAATGGCATTCAGAATCAGGCAATATTTGTTTTGTTTTTTAAATCATTTTTTACAACTTTAAGCCACTACTATGCCTGAAAACGCACACACATAAGTATTGTGTGTTTCAAAGGCAGTTTCATGATTTTGGGCAACTGGGGGTGAAAAAGTTGTTTTTAAGGCGTTAAACATGTATGAGGGCGGTCTGGGCGAGGCATGAGATATTTTTGGCAGTTCACAGAGATCCGTTCTTAAATGAACTGCCCTCGGAAAGGAAGCAAGTGGACATTCTGCTGTGGCCAGCGGTAGCGGAGCCTGGCAAGTGGTACATCCTGTGGGTTTTCAAACTCAGAGAAACCCAGCTGGTTCAGAACGTCATAGACACCAGCCCTGGCAGCCACCTGCAAGACACAAACACATACAAAACAAATTCACTTGAGGTACGAGCAAGAATAAGGCGGCACAGTGGTGCAGTGGTCAGCATTGCTGCCTTGCAGCTGGCAGTGTTGGTACACCTGGCAGGTACACCTGGTTCCAATTCTGGACCTGGGGTGCTACCGGCGTGAACTTTGTATATTCTCCGCCCTGTGTTCATGTGCACTTTCTACAGGTTCTTCGGTTTCCTCCCACAGTCCAGAGACATACTGGTAGGTTGATTGGCTTCTGGGAGAATTGGCCCCGAGTGAGTGAGTGTGTTTGTGTCTGTCTGCCCTGTGATGGACTGGCGTCCCATCCAGGGTGTATCCTGCCTTACGTCTGTTGCTTGCCGGGACAGGCCATAACTCATAGTGGTTTACTTTAGCAGTCATGTCAACTCTAAGGGTCTCCTTAAAGAAATATCTGCAGCAAATTAAAATGTGTTTTGATAAAAGTTAATCTTTTTTTTTTCAAGTGAATGAAAATCTAGAAGTGAATAAGAAGCCTCTACCCGATTTTTAATTGAAACCATGGTTAGAACCCTCTTTGATCTATAATAGGTATCTAATATTTGTATATATTCAAAAGAATTAGAATAATTAAGAATTAATCTTAATGAACTGACAGAATGAGAGCAGTTCTACGATTAACGTATAACAACTATATACAGTATGTAACCTATAGGAAATTTGAACCATACTCAAGGGGGTAACTCTGCTTTTTATGATATTCAGAGCTGTAATTCAGTACACCAAGTTCAAGAGGAAGCTCCTAATATAACCGAAGGCTCTTCTTATGGAAGCAGACGAAGCACGCAGGAAAACGTAGCAATTACAGTCCTATCTGAACAGGACATAAGCCATTATGTATTAACAATGACTGTCCTTTCATTCGTTGCCCTTACAGGATCCCACAGGATGCATGATGTATAACAGGCCATGAGAGAATGCAGCAAAAAACCTGTAGACTGTGAATTCAATTAAACTGCATATGACGGCTTCCTTTTCCTAGATGTATGGCTAAGATGTTGGCCCAAACTCAGTCGAGCCCCAGAAACCTCTTTTGTACAAAACCGACTATGTGCATTAAAAAAAGGTCTCTGAGCAGACTCACTGAACAATACTCTAAAACAAAACGTTCTGGAACATCTTTCCGAAAACAGAACCTTTAGCACTGAGACTTTTAGAGTATTGATTCCTGCAGTTAACATCTAATTGTGTGCAGAGCAAGCACACATTCCAATAGCACCATCCTCCAACAGGCTCAGGAGGCAGGGTAAACACACCATTAAAATGGACACAGCTTGCTCTGTTTACACTGCCTGTTCTTCACACCCAGTAGGAGTCACCTGCCTTGGAAACTAGCTCTTGATCATTCCTAGAAAAGGTTCCTCAGTTTCCTTTACAACAGAACAAGTAATAGGTTTATTCCATGCTGAAAAAAAGAAGAAAGAAAACACAACGTTTCGGACGTGGAGCCTTCTTCAGGTGTGAAGAAGGCTCCACAGCTGAAGAAGGCTCCACGGCCGAAAGGTGTTTTCTTTCTTCTTTTTTTCAGCATGTAATAAACTTATTACTTGTTCCTTTGCAGACTACACAAGCTGACGCAGCTACCCACCTGAACTACTACTTCCTTTACAACATACTTACTCATACCAGTGAATTTCACATGAATTAGGGTTAAAACTAAAGCCTCAATCAGTTCTTAACTGCTTCCATAAACATTCCGAGGTGTAAACTTAATGCACTTAAAAAACAGTGTGTTACTTTACACTGAGCGGCTGGGATTCAATGCCTGTTTTACACTGTTACCACAATTATGAAAACTGTTTTCTACAAGCTTGCAAGATTCCCTGCTTCACTAAACCATTCACAAAGCCTTAGGTGATTTATCAACATACTGACACTGCCTTGAGAAACAATCAAGAGTGCAGCCTCAGGTCTGCTTTCTGGTGTTACTGACATTTTTAATTGACTACGCTCTGTTTACAATCGAGTTCACAGGGATATCTGCAGATTTTTCATTGCAAAATGTACAGGAGAGCATCACGTTCAGAACGATGTGCTACCACAAGTCCAGAGGCCATATGGACACTTAAAAAAACACTAAGCATGAAAGTCCAAATATTTAATTTGCTACAATGCCTAACTGGTATGTGAAAAAATGTTGACAAAGTCTCCAAAATGAAAAGAATAGCCATACTAGTGTGTTCCTAAGTCAGTCAGGGTCTGCTTGGCTCTCACTGCAACAATGGCTCCTGAGTCATTACTGCAGGCCTGCAGTGATGCTAGTGAGTGATACTCCACTCCTCCAGCTAGCACTAAATACTTCATCAGGGTCTGCCATACACCCAGAATATTAGAATGTGTCTTGATATTCAAAGGGGGGTTCGTCAGAGGACCAGAGTGTGGATTTTCTCCGGGACGTCTAGTGTTTATTGCCAGAGAGCCAGGTCTTAAAACAATGGTCACCTTCAAATTCTGTGGGTACAGAGTAAAAAAATATTGGATGGCTCCACAAAATGAAAAAAAAGAAAAAAAATGAGTGCTTAAGATAATTACACAAACTCATTAGGAAGTTTACGTCTCCGGTTTCTGGATACAGTTTAATAAACTACTGCTTCGTTTTCACTGCTGGAACAGCTGGGCTGGAGCTCACTAGCAAAAAATGTTTTCCTGAGCTTTTTCCAAAGGCAGACTAAGTTGTATGTGCTTGTCCTGTGGCAAGATGATGCATAAGGATTACGGGATAGGACTGCAGTACTTTATAAAGAAGCCAACAGTATATCTATGTTGAGCATAAAAACAAATAAAAAGCATTGCTGCGCTGTTATTATTTCAAGTGGGTATGTGACTACAGTGAAAATGAGACACTGTATTTCAAAACATTATTACATTTTAAGACTATCTTTAAAGGGAAGGAAATTAATGTCCTAATTAAGCATTCCTACTCTTGCTTAATTACAGTGTGCAATAAACATTTAATACTGATAAAATGTTCACAATTCCTGCTGATAATTTATCAATGTTGCAGTTTTGATCAGGAGAGGAATTTCAGAGCATTTTATTTTAAAGTATAACACAATATAAATCATAACAGAAATGCCTGGGTCCCAGAAACTATGAAACCCAACTGTTCATTCTTAACTTCATTCAGTACCTTGCAAAATTATTCAGACACTTTCTATAATGTCCCGTTATGTGAAATTACAAAATGATGCATACACAGGGTATAGCACCACATGTCCAGTAAAGTGAGAGTAGATCAAATATGGTTAAAAACATTCATAAACATTCCATTTCTTCATTTTAGTACATTGCATTGATCTCAGAATGTTTTATAATATATTGTACAGTAGCAATAGCAGAATTATCATTGCTTCAGTTCATTCAAGCTGTGTTGATCATGCCTATGTTGACACCTTTGATTTCTACTTTCAAGCAAGATTATTGTTCCCCCTGCAACTCTCAAGAGTAGCTCACTGGTACCAGAACACCTCTGTTCTCCCTCACAGTTAGCCTGGTCCATTGGTGCCTCACCTCGTTCATCTTTTAAAGTATGAAAAGCGTTATTCTGCTTGGTATATGTGACACAAAGCAGACAAGCATTGTAAACGACCTGACCTGGTTCTTGAGTCACAGCATTAAATGGTGATCCGCTGATAACCTGAGCAAGTCTGGTAAGCATATGTATGGAATCCTCTATTGTAGTTAACCAGTCAATTCCAGCCAACAGATCTTACACAATTCTCTGCTCTGTGTGAGAGAAGGCTAGAGAATTTTAGAGGAAACCTGAGGTGGTATCTTAGTACAACAAGCTAATATACTGTCTTTCTTCTATTAAAAAAGGGCATTCTCCAAAGTTTTCTTGTATAGTTCAAACCTAGCAGATGTTTCCTTCACCCCATATTGAGAAGATGTGACACACATGTCAATACACATTAACAGCTCCAATGGAATCGGAGAGAGTGAGCCTTGCCCACTGATCATTATCACTAAATACCACAGAAACACTAAGAGCAAACTGATGCTTGCTTTACTGTAGCACACATGAACAAAAATTCCTGTTTAGTCTTCAGTGAATAACTATTATAACCACTCACTTGCATAATTCTACAGATGGGAGTAATTAGTCTTTTTGAACAGTGTTTCTTATGTCAGATTCTTCAGATGCGGAAGAAGAAGCTAAAAAAGATTTGATACAAAACTTTGGAATAAAAACACACCTATCAAACCCATAGGCATAGCTTATGCACAATAAGCATTCCCTTCTTGTAAGTGAAGTACCGAATCAGTATTCTGACCAGAGGACTCTGGCTGTAACCAAAATAATAATTTAAAACAGATATACTAGTTATTGCGGCCATTTATAAACAATTATAATCATACCCTTACAGTTAAAGGTGATCAGTTTACATTACTACCGAGAACCATGTAAGGGACAGGGTCTGTAACAAAAATCTTTTATACTTTTTGTTAAATTTGCAGTTAGGCCGAGTGAGATCTAATCCCCACGTCCTGAATCTCCAGCTGACTGCCAGGCACTGAGAGTAAACCCTGTTAAACCTGGGGCTATGAAGTCTCCCAAATTATCCTCTGCTCTAGCCTGCACTGTTATGTTAATGATCTGTGCTGCAGGCTTGATGTCATTGTTCCAGGAATCATGGAACAGTAAATAGACCAGAGAACTTAATTTAGATTAAATTAAATTCAGTGTTTTTTTAACAAAATGATCAGAAAGTCACAATCGTGTTAATGAGTACTGGGGCAAAGAAATCTTGCATATTCAAAGCCAGCTGTCACGGACTGGAAATTTAAAGTGGAATTCATCAGTTAAAAGGATATACAGTACAATTCTGGACCACTAATGGAAGAGATAAATTTCACTTGTAAAAAAGTGTAAATTCCCACAGAAGACCAGTATGTATGGCCATAGTCTATTATTACAACAAGTACTCCAAATTTGGACATCTACACATACTGAACTCCCTAGTTAGTATAAATAACAATACTATTTGTAGCACAATAATTCTAATAGGGCAACAGTGGAATGGTGGTTAATGTTCTGGGGCCATCACAAGAAGGCTGCAGGTCCAAATCCCAGGTAAGGATATGACTGTTATACCTGTAGCAACATAAGCACATAAGAAAGGTTTCAAACAAGAGGAGGCCATTTGGCCCATCGGGCCTGTTTGTTAGTAACTAATTGATCCAAGGAAAGAAGGTTTCAGCAACATGGCTGGTTAACTTATTTCACACCCACACCACCAGAAAGGTGCTTTACTTAGACGGTTCCAGTCAAATGCCCACTGGACTGGACAGCACTGGACAAAGTGTCAGCCAAATCCATTAATAATAATAAAATATTAAAAGCTGAACTCCCAAGTTCATAGATTCACTATAAGCACTGTCACACTAGATCCCCGTAACGTGGAAAGCTTCTCAGTCCTGTTGGTGGCCACACACTCCACTATGCCATGTTCAGTGTTTGAGAATTTATTGTAACACATGACAATCAACCTTCCTTACAGAGGTGGGATCAAAACTTTTATAATCCAGATGGTAAAATGCAATTGACTGATTCATAAGTAAATGGGAGCTGAAAGAGACCTCTACCCTCTGCTTAATTTGCACAAGTCTTCGGAATGGATATTCTCACTGCTTCTGTATCACCAGCTGGTCACGAGCCTCTTTACCAGAACCCCTGCCAGCAGTTTAGAATTCCAAAAATGAGTTAAAAAGTGCCTGTGGCACCACTTTAAACTCTCCTTCCTCAAATCTGCTTTAAGTGTTTATATCACCAGCTGAAAACAGATCGCTGGGTTTATATGTATCCATATTAGCAATTCTGAAAGCAAGATTTTTAACATCCAAGGTCATCAGTGTTTGAAAATAAGGCAGAAACTGTTTGTTTCCTAACTTTTCTGTTTTACCTATGCAGCTATGACCTTTCCTGTACTCATACTGTTGGTATTAAATCAGAAGACTCAAAATTTAAAACAATATTGTTAGTATACTGAATATTCTAAAATATTTTGTAGCGCCTAAGGGAAGGATAATTTCTCTGCTGGCAAAGAAAAGTCCTTTGGGTTCTGTTCCAGGTCATCAAGGTACGGGCCAGCACTTATTCTAGGAAGGAGAACTACAGTATAAGGGTACCTTCAGACCGGTACTAATGCCCTGACTATTACCTGTTCTAACTCCTCCATAAGAGAAAAACTGCTGTCAGCTTTTTCCTTAGAGAATTACTGGCAATCACATAGGTGAATGTACAAAGGATCGTTTGTTTTAAAAAAGATGTTCTACCTAATAATCCGGCATTCAAATTGATCCCCCTAGGAGATAAGGCATGACATCATTCACAGGATATGCCCAGAACGTCTGTAAATGTTTTTATAAGCAAGTACTTTGATCAGCAGTATTTTTATTTGTTTTTGTAGTCAATGGTATTGATTGAAAAGGTGTTCTTTTAAACTTCTAATATTCTGTTTTAAAAGCAATGCACATCTAAAGCCTGACATTTCTCTAATATTCATTAAAAGCATAAAAATGTTTACGTAGGAAATGCTCCACAATTTTACTTCAAATGAGGCTCTACTGAAATACTTTTCTACCTTGATTCCACTTGTTAACCCTGTACCAGTTAGTGTGAATAACAGTTGTTGCCTTTCTTCCACCTATAATAATAGATGCAGATGCTGTCTTGTGGGACTCATCCCTCTTGTACTGAGTGGACAAGAAGGTGCCTGTTCAGTGGTCTCTGAGCTCTTGATGCCACATATCGTCCCAGCCCATCACACAGGGCTCAAGTCTGCCAAGCAGGACATCCTACAATGACATTCTCATCTCACAGGCAGCACGAGGACGCGAGTTGTTCTGTTGGAATGTTGTTGCCCCATCCGTCTCAACAAGGGTTCATGATTCGTGGTCTCTCGGACCTGCCAGGTTATAAAATTGCAAGCCATGAATTCCTCATCTGAGGGTGAGCGACAGTGCGAGTGCTCAGTCCAGCCTCCAACACAGCAATGGCATGCAGGCATTTCCCTAAAGATCCCCAAGGGAACATACCGGTTCCATTCAGGTGTTCTTCTTCATTTTTACAAGGCTTGCCATGAAACTGGGAAATCAGCTGATCACCTGTGCACACTTCACTCTCCCACTAATCGATACTGCATCCTGACTACAGTATCGTTGAGTTCCTGGTGGGCTGTTTTTGGTGAAACTGTCTGCTCGTGCATTTAGTTGTTACTTTGCTGCTGTGGGCTTTGAATTAATGCAGGTGATGATCCTGGAGGATGCACTTCTGCCTATTGTTGCCCTTTGCTGATGAAGTCTTTTCCACACTGACATCATCTTAGTCATTGTTGCTAATGAAGCATCAGCATGTTGGGCTTTTTTGGTTTCTACAAAACCCTTAGCAATGCCCCTCTTTAAAAGCCACTGAGGTCTCATATGCCACAAGGCCTGTCCAGCATTTTTAGACATGACACTGAGCATGCTAGGATGTTTTTTGCATACTTGATGCATGAACCATACTGCATGGAAGCCCTCAGTTTCAATATAATTGGTGTCCCTCATTTACGCAGGTGTTTTCTATTTTATTCACTGCCTGTACATATACAGTACAACACAAATGAATTCACAGCACAATGTCATTAAGTGTGTTAAGACAATGGCAGCTGCTCCTAGGACCATTTATACTGCCTGCCTCATTAAATGAACTGAGGCTTTTTTAATACTGTCGTGTGCTTACAAATATTCCAGACAGTGGACATGGTGGATGGGCAGTAATTTGTTAGGAATGCACATAAATTCCACGCTTTACTGTATGAGCACAGCTGACCAAACCCTGCCAAACGATTAATGTACCAACAAAAACACAGCTCCCAGACTTTATGAAGTTCAATGTGTGAAGCACCCAGTGACAATGGAAATAGAATAAGCTTGTAAATTCCAGGAGAAAAATCCTTCGAAAACTTCAGTTACGGTTCACAGCACTGACAAGCTAGAAAGTACAAACACAATCCACTAGCCTTCTACACGATATGTGCAATTTCCACTTCTTCAATTTTGACAGCTGTTGACTTAAGCAAACCCAAAATACAAGAACACATTTCCAGACAGTTCTTTTTTTAAACTAAAGTTTGTTAAGTATGGAAATAGAAATAGCTCTTTGTCTTCCAGAGACAAAGCAGTCTGAATCTAAACAATCGCTGTGCTGGGGGTCTTGGGCAAACTGTTACAGTTATATAGGAATATAGGCACTTTACACAAAACAAATACTGCCAGTGCCACTCTTGAATATTTTAATGAATACGGCTGTTTTACTGCACCTTTTACACAGGCTGTTTTTTTATGAAAGGCATTTAAAAATCTCCTTCCTGCTGTGTCCTGGGGACATTCTTGTAAGCTGATGCCGCGGTAGTGCTTCCCATCTTAACAGATATTTTAGACACATCCTCCCAGACACATAACGTGAATATTGCACAGCTCTTTGCACAGTGCGATTTGTGAACGAGGATTTTTTAAATTCCGTTCTTTGAGATGCAAACAGCCGTTATACTTTTGTTTTTGCTGAATGAAGAGCTGAATCTTTCATGCAAATGATGTCAATGAGAGACATACACATCTACGTATGGATATCATATACCCAGTGCCAGTTTTTCACACAGTGCTCACCTCGTGCATCCACACACTGAATGGTCTTTGCCAGGAATCTTTCTTCTCCAGGTGCAAGTACGCGTTGAAGAGAATGAGGTAAATGTAGCGCTCAAGATACTGCAGACTCTTCAGCAGCTGTGATTCCTTTTCCTTCTTTGCCGTTTTAATCTAAGAAGGAAGCAGAAACGGGACTTTTAATTTAATTTAATAAGAAAATGACGCTGACAGAATAAGACAGCAGCTCAGGTTCTTCACAGCAGCTGAATGGAATTAGATACAATGCCGTCATCATCATGAGATGAGATGCTAGTGCTTTTGAACATACCGCTTTACGCATCCATTAGTGTCTTAACATTAGCAAATGACAAACAGATTTTAGGGGCTCAAGAGGTGCTTTGGACCTTCCAGAGAGCCCACAGGGGGGCAGGTGAACAAATATCATTGTTACTTCGCTATATCCATGATGTGATGAGTTCTAACCCCAAGCGCAGTCTTTAAAAATCAAACCCATTGCTTGAGCCCTGCTTAACTTTACAGACCAATCCAAAACTGAGTGGAGGAAAGGAAGAATAACAGAGAGGGGAAAAGGGAAAGGCATTTCACAAGTAAACTCCAAGACAAACTACTTCTCTGTCAAATCAGGTTTTAAGATGGAAATGCTCTTAACAGTGCGTAAATGCGTAGCTTCTACACAATGTACAAAATGATCTCTTGATTTTGTTTTAGCAGTAAATGGCCATTCCAAATAAACATGTTGTTAATAAACAAGGCACTGAAAAAAAGGGGTTTGTTCAGATTTTATTCTAACAAAATATTAAAGCAGTCGAAACACATTGTGACAGAGTTAGCACTTAGGACCAAGCACAGTAAAAAAAGCTTTTGTGACAGTTCTGTAAGAAAACAAAGTCCTACTGACATAAATAAAGACAAGGAATCACACCTGAGAGAAAAAAAAACACCTCATCTGAACACCCCCATTCAGCTGAAGGTTTCAAGTCAATGTCCTTGACTTGAGATGGCTACCTGAGTGCAGTTACAATCCACTTTACATCTCATCATGTAAAGGAAGAGATTATGGTTTGCATTATGATTTGATCTATTGCTTAATCATGCAGCAGCTTTGCTCCTTTCTTATAGGCTGCAGTGACCTTTATGCTGAAGTTCACTGAATTGTTTTGACACTGCAAGAGACAAATAACTTCCATGCATACTAAAGTTAATGGCCAAGTTCCGCCAATCTGTTTCTACTGTCCCCAATTCCCTAATCACAAGTTCCTTTGACCTTCTACATAGAAATCAAGTTTTTTGCTTGCTTCCCCTTTGGGCTACCAATATACAGAAGAAATGATTTGTATCTTTGTCAGCTACAAAGCAAAGAAAATTAATATAAGGGTAGTCTGTAGAAGGTTTTTACGCCTGTGAAACTTAAACATGACCTTCTGCAGTTTGCAGGGGCTCTGCAGTTACAGAGCACAGTAAACCCTCAATTGCAAATCACAGAGCAAGGAAATGGCACCAAGTACAGAGAAAGCATGTGACACGCGTGGAAAAAGCGGCTTTTTAATTGCTTCTTTTCTTATTCATGTCCTCATTACTGCTTTACAGTTGGAGACGTACAAGAGGAAAGCATATAGAACTGAATGACCACAAGAATGCCCTAACAGAACGTGTGAAGTATAATGTACCGCATTTTACTGAGGAAGTAAAGACCAGGAAAAACAACCTTGAAACTGACATTCATACTGCAGTTCTTTAAACACAAGGTTTACATGTCTGCAAATGGTGCCAGTTAACATAATGTCTGTCAGCTTTTATTAAAAACTGTCAATACTGTCTTTAATTTGGCAAAATATTCATGACTGTGGAGCACAACTAATGCCTAAGAGGAGAACTTGTCACTTGATTTGACATAATATACCTGGATCTAACAGGAGGGGGGTTCTGATCCTGCCGAGGAAGGATTTTCTGAACTGGCTTTCCTATTGAACAATTCTAAAAGAATTAACATTTTGTCATCAGGAAACTGAGACATTGAAATATTTTCAAACAAACGCCACCCTAACATGGGACATAAATTGTAGTGTTTTAATTGTATAAAGTGATAAATGGAGGACTCTCCTTTGATACACAATTGTGAAATTCTGTGTAACAGCATGAAGTTTAAAGCGACAGGGACCCTATGAACCTCTTATGAAGAGGGGGGATCTGAAAAGGCGTGAACTTTTGAACCCTGGGCAGCTCTCTCAGTTTTTGGGGGGCCGATCATACGAGGTCAAATTAGTGTGCATCTACAGCTTGAGGTCAGCCCTGCTCTCAAGGGGCCGCCAACAGCTGCAAAATATTTTCCTTAAGAATGTGAATCTCAAAGCCAAATCACTGAGCAAACTGGGTATTGATATGCCTCACAAGGAACCCGACTTCAATACTCCAGGCAACTTTCCCCAGCTTCAGATGAGAGAGCAGCATAGAAGCCCTTGACCTTCTCTGGATAGTGAAAGAACTTGGTTTTGTCGTTATATTTAGAAGAGATGATTTATTTAATCATACTTCTTCCTGCCAGATAAACTAGAAAACAAACATGCCAACAACAATTCCAATTTTAAATTCAGCACAGCCTATTTGTGTCGGATGTGGTTTATTGTTTTCAGATTCTAATTGCGGCACAGCTCACGGAAATGGATCCTTTGGTATAAGAGGGAAGAAAAGAGTGTCAGTAAATGCAACCGCCTGTTAGAGAGTTTCAGCCCACATGTCCTGAACCCCCTGAAGCTAATGAGTTTGTTGTCTGTATCCACATGGAGTGCATGCTTGGAATGTTACAATTAGGTAAAGTCAACTAGCACAGATGCAAAGCAGTGTACGATCCAAATGGTGAGAAACCCTTCTCAGCAGCAACAGAAGCAGAGAACCTTTTAAGGTAAAAAAACCCATCAAGATATCTTGCTGAAAGTTTTTCCAACTTGCAGACCTATCAAACTATCAAGCAGTAAAGTAATGTTTAAAGCTGGAGTGTGAAGGTGAAAGGGAGATTTTCAATGAGTTTCTAAACAAGTCCTGACTGTATATTTATAACCCAACAATACCCAAAATATTGATAAAAACTGTTCTATTTTTGCACCAGTGGAAAAACAAAGATTAAACCTCTGATGTTTATAAAATCTTTACTTTAAATTGAAATTCATTCTTCATATACAGATATATCTATTTTACTCAGCCCAGTGAAACATTAAACACAGCAGTGCAACAGAAAAGAAAGTAATTTTGTTACTTTGAGGATCAATGAGAACAAGATAAATGGGACTAGAATTATCAAACTGGAACAAAATAAAATAAGTTTAAAAAAACAAATTCCAATTACAAACAGCTTGATTGCAAATGACATTCATGCCAGATAAAGAATTATGCTATTATATGCAATCAGAATGAAATCACAGAGTTTGTGTTCCACTTTCTTAGGACACCACACATCTTAACAAGCACAATCCAAATAATTTGCATCCTGTTCAGACCTTAAGGCACAAAACAAATGGCTTCAATTTCAAGCTGTGGTAACAGCAGAGCTCTTTGTTCCTCCAGTTTTGTTTTCAAAGTTTTGTGCCCTAAAATGAAGGCAATGCAGTGCCATTTAACCAATTAAGCTATTGGTTTGAATGTAACCATGCACAGAGGTTTTGTATTTGTTCTGTAGTTTGCTACAGACATCTTACTACCACATCTATGTTTCATCTTGGTGTTTTTCATTTCCAACAAAGAAATACATCCCCTCCTTCCTCTGGCTGTGAGGCAAAAAAATAACAATTGCTGTAGAAGTAAGTACCTTGTTGACATCATCATCTGATATTTTTCTTTAAAATATTCAAATTCAGCATTAAATTGTTTAGTGGGCCAGGAACCAACAGCTGTTGGTTCACACTTTACTACAGCAAACAAGAAGAGTTGACAGTGATGTTCAGGGCAGGTCAGCAGGAAGCTAAGAAGGTGGTTCTCAATAAGCACACAACAGATGTAGATTATTTGATTGAAACTGAAGGTCAGTGGGATGGAGAGAGATTGTCACACCTGCCTCAGATAGATAGCTGGCCATACATGAGGTCAGCAACTCCCTGCTAGACACTAATCATCTACCCAAACGGCTAGCCACTCACTGCTAACCTCGCAACACAATACTGCAACTTGTGCATTTTAATCATGGTTGTGAAATCTTGCACCTACTCAGATAGACATCAACAGCAGGTGACAGACAAGGGACAGCAGGAAAGGTCTTTACAGTCACTTAACTACAAAGGATAAAGCACCAAAATTTTAAATGGAGATGTTGCATATATTATGAGGAAAAAATATACTTCCTAGTCATTCAAAACAACTCTACCAAAGCAGGCATGATATTTATCTCTTCTATTTTTAAACAGGAAATCTTCTTTCTTTTTGGGGCATTCAGCATTTTTCTGTATTTTATGTATTTTACCAGCACAAATATGTGCAATTCTGTGTTCTTGGGGGTAGGTGATTGGGACACGTTTAGAGAAGAGTTTCAGAAGGATCAAACTCTAAAACAACACATCTAGCAAAACAATGAATAATGACCAACACGTTTTAGCTTTCACTACAGATAATCTGATAACATTTGTATGGGGTAGAAATCCAAGAAACAACCAAACTGTTAACTTCAACTGGTGCTGGTTTTACTAAAACACATTCCCCTTAAAAATTCTAATCTTTCTAGAGAGTTACAAATTTCACAAAAGTGCACAATTATGAATGTGTTGTGGATGCACACTTTTTATATTCCAGTATCATTCAACACAATATTTTTTTAAATTGTAGATTTAAATTCATAAATGTTGCATTACACAACCTCAAAAGATACCTTCCGTTGAGCTACAAAAGAGACAGAAGGCTAGAGACTTCCTGAACACACACACACACCTGCCAGGAGTGTCTGCTAAATCAGCATTTAGACTCCTCTCCTTCCCTCTCTCCCTAAGAACAGCCTTCTCAGGCAGGCAGACAGCAGGACAGCAGCTCTGAAGAACTATCCCCTTAGAGGCCCAGTGGAGACAGGATACACTCTGCATCTCTCCTGTGGCTAGGAATCCCAGTCCTGACAGCAGTGAACCCTGTAGGCAATGGGTCAGTGAACTAACACACAGGAGCATTAAGATGCCGCC